TTGGGGTCTCCATCGCCCCCCAAGTTCTCCCACCCCCAGGACGGTGGATTCCCAGTTCCTCCCATTGTCCCCCAGTAGATGACGAGGGGTGGCCCAGCGAGACGGAGGAGGAGGAGGAGGAGACCTCCCAGGAGGACGATGGGACCTTCAGGAGGAGACCCAGAGGCGGCGTCTCCCCGGCTGCCCCCCACCCCCCCAAGAACCCCTCGGGGGGGAGGAGGAGACCCCACCGGGGCAAAAAGGGGGGGGCGGGGGGAGGGGGACCCCCCCAACATTCCTGCAGGAAATGCGGGAAGAGCTTCAGCCGCGGCTCCTCCCTCAACCGCCACCAGAAGATCCACCGGGAGGAGAACCCCTCGGCCCCCAAGGGCCACCAGAAGCCCCAGCAGCAGGAGAAGCCCCACCAGTGCTCCCAGTGCCCCAAGGGCTTCGCTTCCACCAAGTCCCTCCGGAACCACCTCAAGCTCCACCAGGAGAAGGGACCTTTCCAATGTCCCGACTGCGGGAAGACCTTGGTCTCCAACTCGGCCTTGACCATCCATCGCCGCATCCACACCGGGGAGAGGCCCTTCCAGTGCCCCCAGTGTCACAAGACCTTCATGGCCAACAAGTCCCTCAAGAAGCACCTCAAGAGCCACCACAGGGAAGGTGCCGCCTTCCCGTGTCCCGACTGCGGGAAGACCTTGGTCTCCAACTCGGCCTTGACCATCCATCGCCGCATCCACACCGGGGAGAGGCCCTTCCAGTGCCCCCAGTGTCACAAGACCTTCATGGCCAACAAGTCCCTCAAGAAGCACCTCAAGAGCCACCACAGGGAAGGTGCCGCCTTCCCGTGTCCCGACTGCGGGAAGACCTTGGTCTCCAACTCGGCCTTGACCATCCATCGCCGCATCCACACCGGGGAGAGGCCCTTCCAGTGCCCCCAGTGTCACAAGACCTTCATGGCCAACAAGTCCCTCAAGAAACACCAGAAAAGCCACCAGGAGGAAGGCACCTACAAGTGTCCCGACTGCGGGGAGGTCTTCTCCAAGAGCTCCACCTTCGTGGTCCACCTCAGGACCCACCGCGGGCAACTCCCCTACCCCTGCCCCGACTGCGGCCAGGCCTTTGGTGACCCTTCCGCCTTCAACCTCCACCGGCAGAACCACCTGGTGGAGAAGCCTTTCCAGTGCCACCAGTGCGGGATGGGCTTCCCCACCCACTCGGGTCTTCTCCTCCACCAGAAGAGTCACCTCGGCCCCAGGCCCTACGTCTGCTCCGACTGCGGGAAGGCTTTTCGGGAGAACACCACCCTCCGGCGCCACCAGCGCATCCACACCGGGGAGAAGCCCTACCAGTGCTCCCACTGCCAGAAGAGCTTCCGGGCCAGTTCCACCCTCATCATCCACCAGAGGATCCACACGGGGGAGAAGCCCTACCCCTGTCCCAAGTGCCCCAAGTGCTTCATGTCCAGCTCCTCCCTCATGAAGCATCTGAGGAGCCACCTGAGGAAGGAGATGCTGGTGGGACCCCATCAGTGACGTCCCCAAGGGTGACCTCCTGGTGGGTCCCCATCAGTGATGTCCCCATGGATGACCTCCTGCTGGTGGGACCCCATCGACGACATCCTATTTTGCCCCAATTTTTCACCCTTGGACCACTTGGAAACAGAAGCAGCCCCAAAAGCCACCGGGGGGGATGGGGGTGGTGTCTCATGTTGTTTATTTTCGGGGGGGTTGGGAGGGGGTGGGGGACACGACGACACTTTGGGGCCAAAAGCCCCGATTGAAGGTTTTTGGGGTGGTTTAAGAAGGAGCCGGGATTTAACAAGGAATTAATTGGGGTCATCAAAGCCCCCGGAGACGTCTCCAGGAGGTCCCCAAACTGGTGGTGGGCTCCAGAACTGGTTTGAGATGGACCTGGCTGGAAGCTTCTCGGAAGCTCTTCAGAGCTTCTACCCACGATGCTCTGGGGCTTTGGGAGCCCAGTGTCCACCCGAGGGCCTCACACCAGCCTGGGCTGGCTTCTCCTGACACCTGAGCTCCACTCAGGGACCAAGAGAAGAGCGTCCTCCAACTGTAGAGCGTTCCCCAAACGTTGGCCAAGAGCATTCTCCAACCATAGAGTGTCCTCCAACTGAAGAGTGTCCTCCAACTGTTGGCCAAGAGTGTTCTCCAAGAGAAGAGCATCCTCCAACTGTCAGAGAAGAGTGTCCTCCAGCTCTACAGTGTCCTCCAAATGTTGGCCAAGAGCATCTTCCAAGTGAAGAGCGTCCTCCAACTGTAGAGTGTCCTCCAATCACTGGAAAAAAAGCGTCCTCCGAGCAAAGAGCGTCCTCCAACCGTTGGCCAAGAGTGTCCTCCAAGTGAAGAGCACCCTCAAAGAGAAGAGCGTCCCCCAACCGTTGGCCAAGAGGGTCCTCCAAGCGAAGAGCTGTTCCTGTAGCTTGGAACCTCAACTCCGGGCCATTGGCTTGAGCTCGGGCCCTTCTTCTTCCCCCTCAAGGACGTGCCCAATGAGCTCCTCTTCCTCCCCGTGACCTCCTCTTCCTCCCTGTGACCTCACCTGGAGCCCCGGGTGGGATTTGGGGGTGGGGGGACACCCAAGGTTGGACGTGGCTCTTCCCGAGGACCTTTCTCTCCTTCTGCTGGTCTTCAACCACCGAGAGCTTGGGGTTGGGATGGAGAAAGGGGGTTCCACCCCATCTCCTGCCCCCTCGAACCCCCCCCAGCTGCTTCCCCCCCGCCCCCCAGGTCACGGGACCAAGGAGAGGACCCCCAACTCCACCCAAAACCAGGGGCGGATCCGTTCCCCGCCGAAAGAAACGGGGGAAAAAGCGAAGATGAGACTTTCCTTCTCGGCGTCGAAAAAGGCCACTTCCCCCCAGTCGTAATCCAGGGAAATCCGGATCTTTTTGGGGACCCTGGGGAGGTCCAGGGGGGTGGGGGGGTCGGTGAGGGCGCGGGTTTGGAAGCCCCACTGCTGGAGGCCCCAGATCCCCTCCTGGGGGTTGAAGGCCACGGGCCGTTTCCTGCCCAGGGACTCCTTGGAGACCCCCAGGGCGCAGTATTGCCCCCGGGCCACGTCCACCACCCAGCAGTGACGGCCGCCGGCGAAGGCCTCGCGCCCCAAAACGCAGGGATCCGCCTCAAAACGGGCGGGGTCCTGGGGGAGCTCCCGGAGCAGATACTCCCACCTCACGCTCCTCAGGTCCCGCGAGAGCACCAGGCGGGGGTGGGCCGTGGCCGGGTCCAGGGTGACGTCGGCTGCGGGGAAAAGGTGAAGAAAAAAAAAGAGAATTCCATTTATTTCACCCATTTTGGGCCCCAAACCCGGTGTCGTCTCCGTTTCCGTCGTCCAAGGGGCGATAATTCCCCAAATCACCCACTTTTTCCTTCGTCTTTCCCCAAATCGCCCAGTTGTTTCCTCCTCTTTCCCCAAACTATCAATTTTTTTCACCCCCTTTGCCCAAAATGACCCGTTTTTTTCCTTTCTCTTTCCCCAAATTGCTCGTTTTTTCTTCCTTCTTCCTCAAATTCCCCATTTTGTTCTTCCTTTTCCCCAAAATTACCCATTTTTCCTCCATCTTTTACCAAATCATCCAATTATTTCCTTGCTCTTTGCCCCAAATTCCCATTTTTTCTTCCCCTTTCCTGAAATAACTCACCCATTTTTTCTTCCTTTTCTCCTAAAAACGCACAATAAAAATTGTCATTAACAGCAACACAAATTCCAATCCACAAAAATTTCAAATTTGGGTTTTTTTAGGAGAAAAAAGGGACTTACGGTGCTCGGCCAGGCATTTGCCTGCCAAGAAAAAAAGGAAAGGAATTTAAATTAATTAAAATGATGGAAAAAATTAAATAAAAATTAAATTAAATCTCAGAAAAAATAAAATGCAGGTGAATTTCAGCTACAGGGAAGGTAAAAAAAAATTCCTCCACCCCCCC